TGCAAGCTTGCAGAACTTCCGTGCACAGGTGGGTGTCGGAGGGGGAGGCCAGTAGATGGAGAGCGGGGTTAACCCTCCCTGGAGGAAGCCCCCACTTCCCTGGCATCAGGCCCAGGACCTTGGAGCTCACCTGCCTCCTCCCTCCAGCCTCAGCTCTTCACCCCTCCCTGTAGGGCCGACTAGGTGATGCCCCTGAAGGCACAGAGCTCAAGCACAAACTTAGTCCTCAAACTCCAGACACTCAGGAATCAAGATGAGTCGTATTTAATGCCACAGTTAAAGTCAGAATTAATGCAAATTCTATGATGAACGAAATACCAACAATTTAAAGAAAACTGATCAGTTACAGTGCCACGAGGAGCCATAGTTTGCAGATATAAATGAAAGCGTCATCACTACTGGCCCTTTGTGAAATGCTGACATTGTTTTCATCATGAGTTTTGCCTTATGTTTGATCATCCAAATTCTGCATTGAAATATCGTTCTTCCTGATGCTGAGTTGTGCCCTCCCCACTTCAATTTTGTGCTGGAGGCCAGTGCCGTGAAGTCCACCCTGGTCCACCCTTCCCCCTGTTCACAGCCAAGAACAAAACAATTACTCCCTCTTCTGTGCTCAGGGTTGCCATGCAGAGATGTGCCTCCTGGACCAGATCCCATCGTGGACACTGAACGAGAGTCCGCAGTACAGGATCACCTGTTACATCTCCTATAGCCCCTGTCATGACTGTGCCGAGAATCTGGCTGCATTCCTGAGAGAGAACTCCCGCGTGCAGCTGCGCATCTGCGCCTCCCGCATCTATAAAGTTGGCGAATATAAGACTGGGCTGTGCACACTGCAGAAGGCTGGGGCCCAAGTCACGATCATGACCCCCAAGGGTCAGCATGGGACTCATGGGGTGCAGGTGGGCTGGGAGAGGCCTGTAGGAAGTTGCTAGAAAGAGGCGAGCATGAGAAGCCCTGGTGGAGAAGCCTGTTTGCTGCCTGCAGAGGTGGTGCTGGGCCCTGGAGAGGACTGGGGTGTCTACTGGGAGAGAGAGTTCAGTGGGGAGAGGTGGTCCTGGGCAGGGCAGGGAGGGTGGGTACATATGCAGGGAGGAGCTTCC